CAAGACTCCAGCTGGTTGCAGGTGGACAGTTGGGAGTGTGCGCAGACAGATTGGATCCGCACTGCGTTGGTATTGAGGGACAGGTTTCAGAGGGAAGTTGATAGGTTGCACCCTGGAGCAAAGGCAATGCTGGTCTGTGGCGCTGACTTGCTGGAGTCGTTCACAGCCTTCCACGAGAACGGTGAGCCAGTGTGGTCCCAGGAAGACCAGGAGACAATCCTCGGCCAGTGTGGCGCTGTGTGCATGAATCGCGAGGGCACCAACATAGGAAAGGTAATCGCGGCCGACCCGCTGCTGACCAGGCACAGTGGGAACATCGTTGTGTTCGATCCCAGCGTGCAGAACAATGTGTCCTCCACGCTGGTACGGCGGCTGCTACAGCAGGGGAAGTCCCTGAAATATCTTGTTCACGATCACGTCTTGGATTACATCTGTGCGCACGACTTAGGCAGGTTCAAAGCGTGGGGCGGAAAAGACGAGTGAGCCGTCACAGCATTTGGTTCGCTAACCTGGCTTGCCCGAAGGACTGCTAAACCAGGCGACGAATTATACATATATATATATACATATATATATATAGATTTATGGGCACGTGGCCGCCAGCACCGCTGACCAATGTGTGTTCCCTTTTTAACAGAGCCTTGTACGGCATCTCGCGCCTTCTTGGTTGTATCAGACACCGTAGCAGTTCATGCCATGTGCCGCTGCATGCTTAACTGTACTATGTGCGCTCTTCCCACCCCGCTGGACGATTCAGGCTTGCATGCCTACTTTGCTCCGGTTATTAGCGAGAGGGGGCGATCGTCAGAAGCACTGCTGCGGCACAGGCAGAAGCAGCTAAGCATGCGTGGTTGTTCAGGTATTGACCCCATCGGTTTCAAAGAATCATTCGGGGAAGCAAGCCCCTTGTGAGGCCGTCAAGCGCCTCTGGCCGTCCAGAGGCAATTTCGATGCAGTCTTAGACTCTCTCTGGGCAGTCTAAGGGCTGCATGCTTGTCTTGGAGTGCTCTGGGGGCCCGTCTGGCGGGGCCTGTAGGATCGTCCTGCGGCCGGCCTCTTCGATGAGTCTAGGGCCCCCCGCCCCTCCCCGTTGTCAGGACTTGTGAACTCAGCGACAGAGCCTTTCAGCGGCGCCCCAGTCCCAGCGTCGACCTCAGCGATCGCATGTGTCAACTTTCTCGAGTACAGTATTGCCTCGATAGTACAGAATATCACATCCAAACAAAAGCCCCGCACCACAGTCACCTACTATGTCGGCCTCCTTTGACATGGCTCACCCGAAGAGGGCCATGGCCTTCTCCGCAGAAAGGGAGCTGCACGGGTAGATAATTTTTGTTGCGCATCTGTGCCTTCCAAAACCAGACGCGTATATTTGTTTACTATTCGGTTCGCTTCTTGACCGCTGGTCTACCGCCAGACTCGGAGACGGCTTCGCTTGTGGCTCTCCTCGTGCTGGTGCCGTTGCTGCTGTCTTCAGCTCGCGCGGTGTGTCGGCTCCAAGCCAGGGCTGGACTTAAACGATGTGTTTGGTGATTTCGTGGGCCGTTTTCGTTTCGACAGCGTTTTGCGTTAAAGGCGGATTGACGACAAAAGCGAGGGAAAACGAAAACCAAACGAAAACGAAAAACACCGTTTAGGTTCAGCCCTGCTCCAAGCAGCAGTTTCCACGGCTGGCCAGCAAACGATCTTGCCAGCGTCCAGGCGCCTCGCACTGCAGTCCCTGCGCTGTTGGGCCAGGCGATGGCGGGCCGGCAGAGACAGGAGTCCAGATGCACACTTTGCTGCAATTGTTGCGTTAACCTGCCGCAGGACACGAGTTACGCCGTGGAGTTCTCTGGGAGCTTCACCAAGTCGACCAGAATTGGCCTGTACGTCGGCAGGTGCGACGTACTGACGTAATGGGTTGCTGTATGGCCTTCCGCTCCATTATCAACCGCGTCGAGCAGAACGACGTGTTCGTCGAGACCAAGACGAACACCAACGTGTTCGTTCTAGTCAAGATTTCAGTTCAGCAGCAATCCAGAGCAAGCAGAGGCAGCCATGTATTCAGCTGCCTGCGGCAGACCCCGCCACCTTTCCAGCGCAGCATCGAAACGCATGCATGGCGGTTTTACCGATGTCTGCGAATGGGCTCGGTAGAACCAGCGTGTGGCCGTCTAGTACGCAGCTCTGCAGCGTGGCGTCGCGCAGCCGTGTCGTTGCATCTGTGTTGCCTTTTGTTTGGGAGGGGGTTCTCGAGGGTTTCTTTGGGAGGGCCCCAGGAGGCCTCTTGGGAACCTGTTGGGGGCGCCTCGGCTGGACGTTCTTGGAGTCGCCCGGGCAGGCGCTGGGGCCGTCTTGGAGCCTCTCGGCGCGGTCTTGGGCTGTCGGCAACAGGGGCCGACGGCGCGAGAGCGCGAGGCTGTTCGTGCTTCTCGCATCGCGAAGCGCCTGTGGGGGCTCTGTGGTCGGCTTGCGCTGATGCGGGGCTCTCCTGCGGCCGTGTCGGGATGTATTGTGAGCCTTTTTATACGCCTCTCTGAGAAGCTCCCGAGGTACTACTGGGCCACACCGTGGAAGCACATTGTCCAGATTCACCGTGGTTGTGGAAGTCGATCAATGGAGAGCAGGCATGCTGCCAAATAATTTCCAGATGCCTAAACGATGGTTCAAATATGTTTATACATATAACGGCGCACCAGGTCCGGGGGCCCGGGGCCGGGACCCCGACCACAAATGTGCGCCCCGGGGGGCCCGGAGGCTCGTCGGGGCTTGCCGGAGGCCTCCCCGGTCAGACAAGACGGCCCAAGAAACTTCCAAGAGGCCTCCAAGAGGGCTCCGAGATGCTGAAGATGGCCTCCAGACGTCCAAGGACGCCCCCAAGAGGCCCCAAGAAGCCTCCAACATGCGTCCCAAGAGGGCCCCTAGACGCAAAAATTTGCCCATTCCCTTCGTAAAACGTACATTTTTCAACAAAGTTGCTTTTTGGGCTTTCCGACGTTACAGGACGGCCCACGAGGCGCCCAAGACCGCCCCAAGACGGCCCAAGAAGCCCCCAGGACAGCCCAAGAGGGCCCCAAGACGGCCCAAGAGGCGCCCAAGATGGCCCAAGAGGGCCCCAAGACGGGCCCAAGAGGGGGCCCAGAGGGGGACCACGAACCGCAAGCTCGAGCCTTCCGCCCCAAGAGGCCGCCAGGAGGCCCCCAGGAGGCCCCTCAAGAGGCCCCAGGAGACCCCAGACGTCCAAGGACGCCCCCAAGACGCCCCAAGAAGCCTCCAACATGCGGCCCAAGAGGGCCCCTAGACGCAAAAGTTGGCCCATTCCCTTCGTAAAACGTACATTTTCAACGAAGTCGCCTTTTGGGCTTTCCGACGTTACAGGACGGCCCAAGAGGCGCCCAAGACCGCCCCAAGACGGCCCAAGAAGCTTCCAAGAGGGCCCCAGGACAGCCCAAGAGGGCCCCAAGACGGCCCAAGAGGCGCCCAAGATGGCCCAAGAGGGCCCCAAGACGGGCCCAAGAGGGGGCCCAGAGTAGCCTAGGACGCCCCCAAGAGGCCCCAAGAAGCCTCCAACATGCGGCCCAAGAGGGCCCCTAGACGCAAAAGTTGGCCCATTCCCTTCGTGAAACGTACATTTTCAACAAAGTTGTCTTTTGGGCTTTCCGACGTTACAGGACGGCCCAAGAGGCGCCCAAGACCGCCCCAAGACGGCCCAAGAAGCTTCCAAGAGGGCCCCAGGACAGCCCAATAGGGCCCCAAGACGGCCCAAGAGGCGCCTAAGATGGCCCAAGAGGGCCCCAAGACGGGCCCAAGAGGGGGCCCAGAGGGGGACCACGAACCGCAAGCTCGAGCCTTCCGCCCCAAGAGGCCGCCAGGAGGCCCCCACACCGGGTCCGGGGGCCCGGGGCCGGGACCCCGACCACAAATGTGCGCCCCGGGGGGCCCGGAGGCTCGTCGGGGCTTGCCGGAGGCCTCCCCGGTCAGACAAGACGGCCCCAGGAGCGCCCAAGACGGCCCAAGAAACTTCCAAGAGGCCTCCAAGAGGGCTCCGAGATGCTAAAGATGGCCTCCAGACGTCCAAGGACGCCCCCAAGAGGCCCCAAGAAGCTTCAACATGCGTCCCAAGAGGGCCCCTAGACGCAAAAGTTGGCCCATTCCCTTCGTAAAACGTACATGTTTCAACAAAGTTGCTTTGGGGGCTTTCCGACGTTACAGGACGGCCCACGAGGCGCCCAAGACCGCCTCAAGACGGCCCAAGAAGCCCCCAGGACAGCCCAAGAGGGCCCCAAGACGGCCCAAGAGGCGCCCAAGATTGCCCAAGAGGGCCCCAAGACGGGCCCAAGAGGGGGCCCAGAGGGGGACCACGAACCGCAAGCTCGAGCCTTCCGCCCCAAGAGGCCGCCAGGAGGCCCCCAGGAGGCCCCTCAAGAGGCCCCAGGAGACCCCAGACGTCCAAGGACGCGCCCACGACGGTTCGCGTCACCAATTTCTTCTCACAACGATTCCTGGGTCTGTGACTCGACAGAACCTAAGCGCGCGCGAAGCGCGCGCGTGGTTCTAGTTAAATATGTTAAAACATGTGTTGAGCATGTTTAGAACATGTTTCACACGTTTTAAAGAGACCTGTTTAACTCACTGATCGGATTGTTAGAGTGTCCATTGTCATGGCATCCACAACACCATGGGACATCAGCCCCCACTCGATGATTATTGACACAGTCGAACTTATTGTGGGACGTTATGCTTCGAGATGGCAATGCGGCTGCCGTTGACGACTCTCGAGACCGTTTTGAAGCCCTGTTTGGGCGATCTTGGCCCGTCGCAGGGCGTGGTGTGGGGAGGGTTCGATCTGTTTTGGGGGGGATTGGAGGGGTGGTAGCCCAGGCAGACATCCGACCAGGCAGCCGACGGACAGTTTCTCACCTCAGAGTCCAGAGAGGACGGTAGCGGATAGGCTCGCCAATGTCAGCGGACGTATCGATTCGTATATCTCCGATGTAGTGCGGTCGACCGTGCCGAAAATGATCTTGGACGAAGCATTGCCAACGAAACCTTCAAACGAGTACGGCTTCCAGATCATCAAGGCCCTTGTTATAGAGTTGAATTCCAGCCAGGAAGCTCTGAATTCCATAAACGAGATCAACAAGCAGATACGCCTCCGCGATGCAGGCCGCTGTTGCAGAGAAGATCCGTGTGGTGAAGAAGGCAGAGTTGGCTGCGAAGCAGTCCGTTTGAAGGGCGACGGCATTGCCAAACAGCGCGAGGCCATCGTAGAAGGTTTGAAGAGGTCTGTCACCTCTGGGACCTCGGGGCAGCTCTCCTCCGATAAGGTCTCGGAACTGCTGCTCATCACGCAGTATTTCGAGACGTTGAAGCCGGCAGCAGCAAATGGCAAGTCCAATTCAGTTGTTATCGGGCATGGCCCCGCAGCAGGGGTTGCTGACATCCTCTTCCCAGATCCGCAGCGGCATCACGCAGGGCTCTCCTGGCCAGATGCACATGTAGGTGACGACCTGTTGCGCTACATCTGCATCATACCAGAAAGACATAGGGAGATCGGGGCGTCGGTTGTTGGGGGGCAGTGAGACGGCGTGCCCCTCGGGAATAGAGGAACATGCCCGCCGTATTGCGCATTGGTGCGCCACCCACCGTGTGCGAGGCCCGAAGCGTCCACGTCCAAATTCGCGGAGTCGCTAAGTTTCGGGGCGCCGCGCGGAGCTCTTGGGTCGGCGCTGGGCCCCCCCTCCCTGGCGACGATCCTAGAAATCCGCGCGGAGTTTGAAATTGCGCGTGCGTGTCATCCCGTATTTTGCCCTCGAGGCTCGAAGATGCCGCTACTCTCCGCACCTCCCATGGAGTGCCTTCCGACCAGAATTTCGAGGGCAATCCTCTTGTGGCGACGAGGGCTCTCCAGGACGAGCAGCGGTATCGGGATCCGTTCCAGGGCTGGACCTAAACAGTGTTTTGGCGATTTCGTGGGCCGTCTTCGTTTCGACTTTTGTTTTGCGGTAGAGGTTGATTGGTGACAAAACGAGGGAAAACGAAAACAACACGAAAACGAAAAACACCGTTCAGGTTCAGCCCTGATCCGTTCCTCCACGGAGGCGGCTGCCGCGCGCGCCAAAAGCTGTGGAGGACTGCGAGCGGGAGCCTTTCCGAAGGTCCCCCCCCAAGGGGCCGCGCTCCGCGGCCTGGGTCGCGCAGCGGTCCTTCTCCGGGGTGGCCGCGCGAGAGCGCGAAGACGACATCGCGCCGCGCTCGAGGCGAGAGCCTTAAGACGGGCGTGTCCCTCCTCAGGAGGAATACTCAAAGATCGTAATACGATGGTCCTGGGGCGATTTTCTGCTGTGTGTGAGACTCCTTTTTGAGTATTTATCGTATTTCAATTCTCGTCCGAAACCCACCTGTAGGAGGACATGCCCGACCTAACGAGAGCCTGATGTCAACAACGCTTTTGGGCGTTTTTCGTTTCCGCTGTCCACGTTTCAAGCCAGAGCCGAAACAAACAAAAGCGGCGGCCCCGCACAGGAACACATATGCAAACATACAGAAGGGCAGCCCCAAACATACGAAGAAGCCACAACAAAGAGCAACACTTCACACAACGGGGGAGGGGAAGCTGACCTCCAAGCAGAACAAGTGATCGTTTTCGAAAACGGATAAATCTCCCAGCGTTTTTGTTTACATGTGTGGAGGACGATCAATGGTGAGGAAGCATGCTGCCAACTAATTTCCAGATGTCTGAAAGACGTCGCACAGGTTTTCAGTATGTTAAACACATGTTTGAAACGTGTTTAGAACATGTTTTACACTCTTTAAACACATGTTTAATTCAACATTCGGATTGTTGCCTACCTAGGCTCTGCCTAGAAGGGTTCTTACTCTCTAGCTTAAAGGAGCCGGGCAGTGGAAAGCGCCCCGGGCGGTTCCCCCAGTCCCCGCCCCGCGGTTCCCCCAGTCGCGCCCCCTGGGTTCACCCAGTTTAGCTTAGCTTAGGTTTAGCTTAGCTTAGCTTAGCTTAGGTTTAGCTTAGCTTAGTTTAGCTTGGGTTATCTCATCTTAACTAAGCTTAACTTAACTTTGCCTAGCCTAGCCTAGCTTACCTCAATTTAGATTAGCCTAGCTTAGCTTAGCTTAGCCTATCTCATCTTAACTTAGCTTAGTTTAACTTAGCATCGCTTAGCTTGGCTCAGCTTCGCCTAACCTAGGTGAGCTTGATTTAGCATAGCTCATCTTAGCTTAGCTTACCTTAGCTTAACGCAGCATTCGCACATCATTTCCTAGCACATCATGACCAAGCATATCATAGCATATCATAGCCCATCATATCATAGCAAAGCAACAAACACATAACAACAGCGCAACAGCAACGCAACAACAACAGCAAACGCAAACGCACAATCAAAGGCAAAGACACAAACAAAGGCAAGAGCAACAGCAAAGGCAATGTTCACCAAAAGCAACACCAATGCGAACATGTCGATGTATATGTAGACGTAGTGTAGGTGTAGATGTGGATGTAGGTGTAGATGTAGGTGTCGATGTAGGTGTAGATGTAGATGTAGATGTGAGTCTAGCTGCTGATGTTGATGTAGATGTAGATGCAGGTGTAGATGTAAATGTAGCCGTCGGTGTAGATGTAGATGTTGCTTTTCTAAATGCTCCAACTCCTAGGTAGGGTCGCACTGGGATAATCCGTAAGGGCTTCGCCCCCTGCCGCCGGCCCCCTCTCTCGGAGAATGGGCCATGGAAGAGCTAAGTCATGAGGCTTTGGCGCTGTCGTGCAGCAGTATCGGAACTTCATGCGAGGCCGATTCGCAATCGGCAAAACCAACTGATCACAAGAGGGGTTACCACACAGGGCGATTGGTAAGACGTGTATGGTTTACGAGCTTGGTTACCACACCTTGGGATTAAAGGGCCGATGGAGTACTCGCAGTTTGGGTTACCACGCCTTGCGATGGATGTGCGTGAGGGGTGGCACCGAATTTCAGAAATGTGGCAAATCCCATGTGTTTTTGGACCCTGACCCCGCGGATCTGCGTGAGGGGTGGCACCGAATTTCAGAAATGTGGCAAATCCCATGTGTTTTTGGACCCTGACCCCGCGGATCTGCGTGAGGGGTGGCACCGAATTTCAGAAATGTGGCAAATCCCCTGTGTTTTTGGACCCTGACCCCGCGGATCTGCGTGAGGGGTGGCACCGAATTTCAGAAATGTGGCAAATCCCATGTGTTTTTGGACCCTGACCCCGCGGATCTGCGTGAGGGGTGGCACCGAAATTCATAAATGTGGCAAATCCCATGTGTTTTTGGGGTGGCACCGAATTTCAGAAATGTGGCAAATCCCATGTGTTTTTGGACCCTGACCCCGCGGATCTGCGTGAGGGGTGGCACCGAATTTTGAGAAATGTGGCAAATCCCATGTGTTTTTGGACCCTGACCCCGCGGATCTGCGTGAGGGGTGGCACCGAATTTCAGAAATGTGGCAAATCCCTGTGTTTTTGGACCCTGACCCCGCGGATCTGCGTGAGGGGTGGCACCGAATTTCAGAAATGTGGCAAATCCCATGTGTTTTTGGACCCTGACCCCGCGGATCTGCGTGAGGGGTGTCGATTTCGAGCCCCCCCAGCAATTCAGACAACGCGCCCAGGGGACGCTAAAAGTCTTGTTTGGGCCTCCCCCCCCCTCGCGCGGTCAATCAACTAGTTACAGTAACCAGCAAGAAGTCAACTAGTTACAGTAACCAGCAAGAAGCAGAACTGTAACACTGGAAACTACAAGCTACAACTGGTACAGGAAACTGCAAACCCGCGCCTACAGCCTGGTGGCCCCACAAGGGGGCCGGCGGATTAGAGTGCCTATTGCCATGGCATCCACAAGAAGAGAGAGAGAGAGAGAGAGAGAGAGGGGCGCAGAAGTTGGATGACCCCAGAGCTGGAGCCAGCTCGGGGGGCCGAGGTGGCCCAGCACTGGCTCCGGCCAGCACGGAGGGGGGAGAGGGGGCCCCTCGTCGCCATGGCTGGGACGCGGCTGGAAGAGCTGGCCGGCTCGACCCCGGGAGGGGTTCGGGTTTATGGTGTTCCAACCTCGTGTATCTGCACGCGCGAGATGGGCACGGAAAGAATGGGTACGATGCCCAACAGCGGATCTTGTTCATTTTGAACAGGGCTCGCTGTCCACGCCGCCGCGGCCTGTGTCCATTCGAGACAGGAGGCCGCCTGCCCAACAGCGGCCGCTGTTGGTTTGGGACAACATTTGCTGTTGGGCATTGTACCCATTTTTTCGGTACCCATTTCGGACGTCCAAAATTGTAGCCCTGACCACCAGAAAGAACTTCGAGCCCCCAAACAATACACCGAAACTCGAGGGGGTTTCGCGCGCCGGGCCCTGGGAGACACTCGTCCGACACTATTTCGATACTCTGTTCGACACTTGTTCGACACTGCTCCGGGTGCTCGATATTACTTCTGGGATGTGGTTTTTAAGTCGGGGGCCCCCAAACGGGGTGGTGACCACACCGTGCGGTGAGTCGGTGGGGATTCGGGGTCCCCGCACGGTTTTGGGACTCGGGTCGTTCTCCGAGGATGTATCGGGCGACAGGGGCCTCCAGGGTCCCAAGACCGTGCGGTGACGGACCGTGCGGTGAGGTCTTGGGGGATTTCGAGGTCACCGCACGGTCTGTCACCGCACCGATTCGGGACTCCAAATTAAGAAAGTTGGGAGCAACATAAGTTTGGGTGTTGATTCTCGAAGAACTTGCCTTCATCCCCCCATCTTCAGCGATCTTCTCTAGGTTCACCCAGCTCGGACCCCGTTGCCGTCATCACGGGAACCCGTCCCGGTTGGGCTCCTCCCCGGGGGGCTTCTCCGCACCGCTCAGCTGTTTGGTCGACGCCGCCCCCAGCGGCGGGCCCATCGCGCGGAGCGCGCTCGCCCGGGGAGCGCCCGGGCGCGCTGCAGCAGGGATGGATGATGCCAGGACGGAGTGCTTCTATTCTCTCGCCGGCCGGCTGCCCGTCGCACGGCGAGCTCGTCAGCCCAGCTCAGCGGGGCGAGCACGGGGAAGGTTGGTGTTCGATCCAGGGGCCTCCCTGGGGCCCATCGACAGGTTCTCTTCGACTCCAGTTCGCCTCAAGTGCGACCCAAGTCGACGGACGCCCGACGCAGCATCGACGCATGAGTGGAGCGATTGGCTCCAGGAGAGTCCCCAGAACGAACTTCTAAGGGAAGTTGCATGGCAAAGATGACTCGGGCTGGCCACGATTCCAGCACCTGCGTGATTCCTCGAGTACTGTCTGGCCGTGGGAACCACACCTCAAACGTTCTTGGCTTGTCCAACCCTGGGGTAATACGTCCAGCCTTGCGCACTGTTTGTGGTCCGACGTCTAACTTGTCCAGCATGCTCCTGTTATTATGTTGTCGCACCTCTCGGGCTCGCCCGAGTCTTCGAGAGTGAGTGAGTCTGAGTGTGAGCGAGCCGTATGAGTCCGACACCAACGACGACGAAGCTTGGTACGAGTGTAAACGAATACGAGTGATCCAGGTATGAGTAAGTATACGCATAACACATGGCTGGGCCCAGGGGCCCCAGGGTCGCGACCCCGACGTCAAGTGGAAGGCCCAGGGGCCCGGCCCGCCTTTGGGGGGCCCAGATTCGCCCCTGAGAGCCATCACATTGCCGCCCAGGCTGACCAAGACTGATGGGCCTGTTTTCCATCACCGCCACCATAAGTTGGAGGGGGGAAGGAGGTGGAGGAGGAGGAGGAGGAGGCGGAGGAGGAGGAGGAATAGGAGGAGGAGGAGGAGGAGGAGGAGGAGGAGGAGGAGGAGGAGGAGGAGGAGGACCCTCTCCCCCTCCTACTTATGGTGGTGGTGGTGGTGGTGGTGGTGGTGGTGGAAAACAGGCCCATCAAAGACGACCCAAAGCCACCCCACGACACCCTCCAGGGGTCTGCGACGGCCCAGGCTGCTCTTCAAAGGGCCCAAGAGGTGTCCGCGACTCTTCAAGACCGTGCCAAGAGGACCCCCAAGAGAGCCCACGAGGGCCTCGAGAAGCAAACATCGCCCCATTCTCTTTTCAGAGAGTTTACATGTTTAGCACATGCGCCAGCTTGTGTCCAAGACGACCCAGGTGGTCTCCAAAATCGCCCCAGGACTGCCCAGGCTCCAAGACGGGCCAAGAAGCCCCGAGGACGACCCAAGAGGGCCCCAAGGTGGGCCCAAAAGGGGGAATCCGAGCTGCCTTTTTGGAGCCCTCCGCCCAAATCTGACTCCCGAGGCCGCCAACAGGCCCCAAGAGTACACCGGGAGGCCCAAACGAGCGCCCCAAAAAGCACCCAAGTGATCCCAGGCGGCCTCCGAGAAGGTTCCAAGAGACCCCTAAGAGGCCTCAATCAGGCGCCGAGAGACCTCCAACGAGGCCCCAAGATACGTCTACGAGGCCTCTGGCCCACAAACCAGCCAGAGTCCCCTGATCGATCCCAAACCGCAGTTAAGGCGGCTCCAGAGGGCCCCGAATCGTCCCCAAGACGGTTTCGAAGAGTCTCCGACAGTTTGGGGGGACGCGTGTGTGTGTGTGTGTGTGTGTTTGTGTGTTTGCGTGTTTGCGTTCGTGCGTGCGTGCGTGCGTGCGTGCGTGCGTGCGTGCGTGCGTGCGTGCGTGCGTGCGTGCGTGCGTGTGTGCGTGTGCGTGCGTGTGTGTGTGTGTGTGTGTGTGTGCATGTGGACCCTTGTCATTGAAAATTGACAGACCCAGTAGCGGTCTGGGAGTTTCTGTTGAGGGTGCTTTTGGGTAGTGGGTAGGCATCGCGCCCGATACCTCTCGATTTTGCCTCTGGAGGGCCAGCTTCGACCCGTGGGGGCCGTCCGGGATCGATCCAGAGTGCAAGGCCAGCCGGGGCAGACTCCAGGTAATCCTGGGGTTCGATTTTGCGAAGCTTGGTGCATCAAGCCATGAGGGTGTACACCTTAGGCGATGCTTAAGAAAACTTAAGTTTCCGGCCAGAGTCTCGATTGTTCTTAATGTTTCAATGCAAATCCCAAGATTTTGATAGAATTGTTGGGTGTTTATTCAAGTTCTGAGACCATGAATTTCTTAACCCATGATTTCTTAACCATTTCGCGTGGTGTATGCACCGATGCTGGGGCCTAGGAAGCTGCTGGCCAGGATCGGTGTGTGCGAAAGCATGTGTACTCCCCAGGCGGTGCTTGCACTCGGGGCTCCGAAGCTTGGGCCGAACGAAAAGAGGGCATAGGGAAAGTAGGGGGGGTGACGAAATCTGCTGCATGCAGCTGGTTTCGGCCCCGGCGCCGGGCCCATTCCTCGATACGTGGGCGCTCTCGGCGCCGGGAGGCGCCGGGAAAATCAGCTACGTGAGCTGATTCTCAACCCCCCCCTTTGTTATCCCCCCCTTTCGCCCGACCCGAGCGGTGCTTGCACTTGGGGCTCTGAAGCTACTCGTTCCTCTAAAGAGAAGGTTCTAGCTTGTGTCCCCGGCATCGCTCGGACGTGTGCATTTTCTTTCTCGGCGAGGACCTTCGAGGAGCATCCTCGACCATCCGGCGAAGACAACACGCACGAAACCGAACAACAACACAGAGGATGGACGTCCGAGCGATTCAGAGCGTGAATTACCTACCCCGCTTTCGCTTCCAGGCAAAACCAAGTCATACCACGCGCATCCTCGTCAAACGGCCTGACCAATACAGGCCGTAGTTTGGCATCGGTTGGTATCTCTTGGAAGCGAGGGTGGTCAAAAGCGAGGTAGGTTTGTTTTCCCCCTAGCGATGGCCAGTGTCCCTCGGGGGTCGGACGGGTCTGGCGGAGTTCCGCCCGGTGCCCGGCTGGTGGCCGCGGTGCGCGCCTGTGGCCTCTTCGGGCGCCGTGGGGGCGCCTCGTGCGCCGGGTGGCCCCGTGGCCACCCGCTGGCTGCCCCGTGTCGATGGTTCGCCCGTGTTCGCCCGTGGCCGCCCGTTGGTGCCTCATGGGCGCCTCGTGCGCCGGGCGGCCGCCTCCTGCGGCAGCCCAGCTGCCTTTGCTGCTGCTCCTCCTCCTCCTCCTCCTCCTCCTCCTCCTCCTCCTCCTCCTCCTCCTCCTCCTCCTCCTCCTCCTCCTCCCTCCTCCTCCTCCTCCTCCTCCTCCTCCTCCTCCTCCTCCTCCTCCTCCTCCTCCTCCTCCTCATCCTCCTCCCTCCTCCCTCCTCCCTCCTCCGGCCTTGGGTTCCTGATCTTGTAAGTTTCTGCACTTGCTGCTGCTGCTCCTCCTCCCTCCTCCTCCTCCTCCTCCTCCTCCTCCTCCTCCTCCTCCTCCTCCTCCCCTCCTCCTCCTCCTCCTCCTCCTCCTCCTCATCCCTCCTCCCTCCTCCCTCCTCCCTCCTCCCTCCTCCGGCCTTGGGTTCCTGATCTTGTAAGTTTCTGCACTTGCATTCTGGGCACTGTTTTTGACCTACGTTGTCATCTTACCCCAATGTTCCCAATGTTCCCTCCTCCCTCCTCCCTCCTCCTTCTCTCATGGGCGCCTCGTGCGCTGGGCGGCCGCATAGCTTGCATTGGACCACATAGCTTCTTGGTATCGCTCGGACGTGTGTACTTTTTTCTCGGCGGGGATTCTGAAGGAGCATCCTGGATCATCCTGCGAAAAAGCCACGCGCGAAACCGAAAACATCACAGGGAATTGACGTCCGAGCGATGGCCAGGCTTGCACCACATAGCTTGCACTGCATAGCCTTTGGCACCGCCTGCACCGCGTACCTTACAGCACACAGCTTGCACCTCATGGCTCACACTGCACATGTTACACCAAAGGGCTTGCACCGCATAGCGTACACCACACAGCCTTCACAACGTAGCTTGCACCACACAGAATACACCAGGTGGCTCGCAAACACTATCTTGCATATCATAGCTTACCACGTAGCTTGCACCACATAGCTTGCATAGCATAACCTTCACAATGTCGCGTGCAGCTCATTGGTCGCACCACATAACTTACACCACAGAGCTCGCATCACACATATTACGCATCCACAGTGCAGTCATATTAATACCATCTACGGATCTGCGGTATAAGGAGCAGTGGCGAACCCCTCCCCGAAGGGATACTGGGTGTTGGAAGAGGAAGCGCTATAAGCCACGCACGCTCAGAAGCTTGGTGGCTTCAACTGCGCATATTTCGACAGAGCGGTAACCATTCCCCTCCAGTTGTCTTATCATGTGCCATGCACTCAGTCTTATCAGAGATTGGCATACATGTCTTTCATGCTGGCATGTGTGCAGAGCTGTCTTGCGTGTCACCACGCTTATCGAACACGTTGTTCACTCGGCATGCTGTCTTTATTTTGCTTACTGAAAGGCCCATACTGGACGATGGTTCCTTCATGTTGTGATGACGTGTTGGCTCCATTGTTGGCTTCTTTGGTAGTGTGTTCACCAGTATGCGCACATTGATCAAGAACGAGCAGTTATGCGTGGTGCAAAGGGTAAATGACCCAAGACGTGTAAATGATGTTGCAATCAACCTTTTCTCCAAGTCCCACTTCACTGGGCCGTTGAAGAAATGAATTTCGTTGCGGCAAGTACCCCTTGAGAAGACAGCTGTCATAGAATCCCAACCTATGCGAAAACAGAATCCCTGAGACTTCAACGCCGCGAATCAGCATGACATTCGCGTTTTTTGCGTCTTGACACGCCTACATCGTGCCAGAGCGCTATTCCTTGGACTTCAATCCGTGAGACAATCTAATTGTTGCGTGCTGGCAATGTTAATTCGCGCCAGAACACCATTTCTACTATTTAGCAACCCGACGAAGCTTTCGAACGTGGAAGATTTCAAGACGAATGTGCGTCGCGCTAAGGCGAGAACTACATTTTGAAATGGAACCGCCCTTCATCTTTGAAGCCGTCGCAGACTATTGAGACGACTGTGCGCGGGGCTATGGCGAGAGCCATACTTTGATAAAAAACCGGCGCCCAACATTAAAC